TTTTCCTAATTTTTTATGGTGGTTATGAGGTTGGTCAAATTGACAGACCCTGTATAGAGTTAGGGTAGAGAAAATAACAGATAAAACATAAAGTTTTACTGATAACAAATATTTGAAATGTATTTAGGAGGTTGTAGGGAATACACTAATGATATTTGAGATTTTGGGAACAAAGAAAAGTTTTTTAATCATAACGTGAAAATCACATCACACTCGGACTAGTAACAAAACAGACTCAATATATTCACAAACAAATCTTTAGTAAAAATACTTCATTAAAAAAATCAGATTTTTTGTGTACAAAAGACTTGTAATGTTTACTAAAAGTCTACCAAATTTTGTGAAGATCATACTGCATTAAAAGTTATAGTATAAATACTCATGTATTTTATACCGAGCACATCTCAAAAGGGTTAAATGGTGTAAATTATATAAATACATGGAAAGTGTAGGTACTGCTTCAAAAACTACTCATGTTTTGTACAATCTCTAATGACATGTTGCTTGGGAATGTTTTGAAAACTTAAATCTTAACTAGTTCGATGCAACCTGAGAACTTTATAATAAAGTTATTTTTCAAAATTAATTTTTATTATAAAAAAATATTTATATTATTTGTTTTTCTCTTAATTATTTTCTTAATATCATACTTTGTAACTATATCATTTTAATATGCCAACTTTCAACAATTATAATTTTCCTAAACTGAAAATGTATTTCCGATACATTACATTACCTCCACAATGAATGGGTGGAGGAACTAGTGCGAGGAAAAGAAAGAAGTATCCTTCAAAAGCATCTGAAGGACACTCCCAAAGAGGAGACAGTCAGATTCTAAGATCAGATGTGGGGGACTGAACCACTTCTGAACCAGGTATACTCTTCGCCCATCATAGACAGATGTTGCAAATATGGGCAGAAACTGGAAGAGCACATATAAGTGGGAGAGAACTAACGTCAAATAGTGATTCAAACCATATAATATTTATACAACTCTATCCCAGGAATTATAAAAATGGGTAAAATTAAAAGTACATGTCCTAGGTGTAGAGTGGCTAGGGCGCGGTGGACCGTACATGATAAGTCAACTATATACAAAACCAATGCCGCTGGGAACTGACATCCATGCAGGGGTAGGATGAGAATCATACCAGTGGCAAGTCAATTACAAAACCAAGCCATTTGGTGGAGGTAAGAAAGAGGACCATACCTTATTTACCTCAATTTCATGAAGCTGGAGGGAATCAAGAACCCACAGACCAATAAACGGGACACATGTTAAGATAAGAAATTGATAAATCGATCTGGGAACCCGACATCTGGTATCAAAAAGATGTCTATATAATGTAAATCATCTCCCTCAAAAGTAAAATTGACCAGAACTGCCCCAAGCACAGTAACATCCTCAGAATAATAAGCAGAAGGGGAAGAACCGTAATAATCTGCAAGTACCTACACCATGACCTACAACATGGACAGAGTAACAAGAGTATAATTGAGAGAGGAATATAGACTTCTGTATGACATGTGTGAGGACTTATATTGATTGGTTCAACTCTAAATCCACTGGGAACTGATATCTATGTGGGGTAGGATTAGAGATCCCAACTGAAGGGGTGAACTACAATTTTGACAGCTCACTTCCATTTGTTTTGGTTTCATATTGGGGGATATCACATCATCTACACCAGCAGAACACCACTGCCCTACTCTCAAGTGAATGGTTTTATAATCATTTCTATATTGTGTTTATATTTCAATTAACCCATTGAGGAGGATGTCACCATGGTCCACCACCCTAGCACTTGGAACTGGAAAGTGATAAGGACTTTCAAACTCCACCCGAAGAAAATGGGGGGAATAATGTGGTGAAGAGTCCGGAGGAACAACAACACTCGAGACAGTGCAATGGGTGACTACAAAACCCTATTTTGAAAAACAGACCATACTGATTTATTTAATACAAGAATAGCTGGTTAGGCACCATTCACCACAGAGCGGGATACAAACATTGTGCAATAATAAAAGGGAAAGGGCCCTTCAAAAAGAAAACATAACTTATCCAGTCAAAGACTCACTGAATTCTGAAGAATAGCTACAAGCAGAAGACGATAGCCTGAAGAGGAAGAAACCACAATCTGCTGCAAATAGTGAGAAATGAATGTATCAAAGGCAGTCCACATGCCTGATTCAAGATGTACCTCCCAGGGACGAAGAGGAGGAAATGCCAATGTGAAGGTAAGGCATC